TGGAAAAGGAAATGACAAAAAGAAGGCTCCAATGACATTAGTACCAGTAATTTCCGAAATATTCACTAAAATAAATGTCGATGCCGTTGGTCCGCTACCTATTTCAAAGACTGGAAAAAATATATTATTACAGCTCTGTGTATATGTCGTCCAAATATCCAGATGCTGTTGTGCGGTGACAGACATTTCTTCGCCATCTGTGATTGATGCTTTCTTACAGATTTTCAGTCGTATGGGTTTTCCCAAAAGTGATTCCAAACAGATCAGGGGACCAAACTCTTTCGTCAGTGCTTTGACAGAGGAATTTTTGGAGCGTTTCGGCATTAAACATGTAAGAAGCTCTGTGTATCATCCGCAGAGTAATCCCGTTGAGCGATTCCATAGAACGCTAAAAAAGGGTGTTAAGAGTCGTATGTATAGGAGCGACTTCGGATTGGGAGAATTATCTACCATCAGTTCTTTTTGCTCTCAGAACAGTCACACACGAAAGCACTGGTTTTACACCAGCAGAATTAGTTCATGGCAAAAACCTACGAACGCCAGTCACTTTACTTTATGAGCAGTGGCTAGAACCGATTGAAGAAAGTAATAATGTTGTCAGTTACGTTTTCGAACTTATTAATCGAATGAAGAAATGCCAAGAACTTGCCGTGGAAAACATGAAAGAAGCTCAACAACGGAGGAAAACATGGTACGATCGAAACGCAGTGAAAAGAGAATTTTGCTAGAGGAGATTTAGTTCTTGTTTTATCAACGAATCGTCAAAATAAACTAGAAGTACAGTGGAAAGGACCTGGAAAAATAGAGCAGAAAATTTCAGAAACCAATTATATTGTAAGTTTCGAGGAACAAAATGAGCCAAATCAAGTATATCACATTAACATGCTTAAAACCATATTACAAAAGACCAGAAATGATTAATATGATAACTGAAGTGGAAGGAGACTTAGAAATGGACATTCCTCGTTTACCTTCCAATCCAAGTATATTAAATTTCTCGGACATCATAGAAGGAATGAACTCGAGAAAAGGTTGAAATCCGAGCAAATAGAAGATTTACGAAAGATTTTATGGAAATATTCTGGTTGTTTTTCAAATAATCCTGGACTAACAAACTTAGTTTGTCACGATATTGAGCTATTAAATAACGAACCAATACAAATAAAGCCATACAGACTGTCACCTCGACAGACTGAAATTCTCAAAAAGGGAAATACAGAAAATGCTCGATCTTAAAATTATAGAGCCGGGAGAATCGGACTATACATCTCCCATGATTTTGATAGAATCTTCATCAAAGGATCCTCGGCCTTGTATTGATTATCGTAAACTCAATGCTGTTACTAAAACTGAATACTATCCTTTGCCTAATATTGAAGAACGTATCGAAACTGTAGCAAAAGCAAAATATATTACCCTATTAGATTTATCTAGAGGCTACTGGCAAATTCCGTTAACAGAAAGAGCCCAAAGATATGCAACATTTGTAACTAGTTTTGGAAGTTTCAGGCCTCTACGTTTACCCTTTGGATTAAAAAATGCCCCATATTTTTTTAGCAAAGTTATGACTAAAGTCCTGGCTGGATGCGAAGGTTTCGCTGTACCATACCTGGATGACATTGCCATTTACTCAAAAAACTGGGAAGAGCACCTTAAAAACTTAACTTCTGTTCTAGAGAGAATACAGAAAAGCAAATTTACGACTAAAAAAACCATCAAAATGTAAATTTGCACAAGATCAAGTGAGATACCTAGGCCATGTTGTGGAACAAGGACAACGAACCCCGGATGGAGTAAAGATCCTGGCTGTAAAGGAGTATCCTTCATCTATGACCCAAACAGAAGTACGTGCTTTTTAGGACTAATAGTGTATTATCGCAAGTACATACCGAGATTTTCAGGAATTGCTTCACCCTTACAGACGCTTTGAAGGAGGTAACCAAAAAAGGAAATATACAATGGTCTGAAATATGTGACAAAGTTTTTAAAAATTTAAAAGAGTTGCTATGCAAGAAACTATTTCTGTATGCTCCAGACTTTGATAAAAGGTTTATTATACAAACCGATGCCTCAGACAATGGCATGGGTCTGGTACTATGCCAATTAGATGATGAACAAACGTGAACATCCTATCTTGTATATAAGCAAAAAATTTACTAAGTTTGAAAAGAATTATTGTACTACTGAAAAGGAGTGCGCTGCTATCATCTACGCTATCAAGAAACTGCATTTTTATCTGGATGGTCAGCAAGAATTCTTGATTCAAACTGATCATAATCCTTTGGTCTGGCTACAATCCAACGCCAAATGTAACTCTAGATTGATGCGCTGGGCACTCTCATTACAACCTTATAATTTTAAGGTCATTCATCGCAAAGGATCTTTGCACAAGAACGTAGATGTTCTGAGTAGAATTAAGTAATGTAACTCTTAGTGTATGTAACCACGTTTAGAATTAATTTTATTGTTTAATGTATGCTCAACTAATGTATTTGAACGTTCTCCATTTCTTTCTTTTTAAATGTAGTGTAAAAGTATTTGTTTAAAACTTAAAATTTTTGGCCTGAAATTTAGAAATTTATAAGAGAAATAACCTTTGCTCTTTAAGCAAATGAGCAAGCCGAGCTTATTAAACTGTCAAATTTTACAGAACTTTTCCCTTCGGAAAAAAGTCTCTCCGTTGGGGGAGAGGTTGTAACAGCTTTAAATAGTATTAAAATCTTGTAGTTTAAATAATTTAAATAGATGAACATTAAGTTATTTGTGAATGGCAATATTCGAAACCAGACTCGAGTGCCACGTGCGACTCTCGCACGAAGAATGTAATTTATTTTTAAATGTTAGAATATGTTTTCTCTTCTTGTTTGTATGTCGCCATTTTTTTGAGTGTTAAATAAAAGTTATTGCTGTGTTCCATCATTGGAATTGCTTCATTTCGTCAAAGAAGTATCACAGTTTCAAAAGTTTGAAAGGGGATTCAAATAAAATAATATTAGATACAATTACATGATGCATTTCAACCATAAACTCTTATTACTGTTAACAGAGAATTTTAACATACAATACAGAAGTTCATATTATCATATATTTCTGGTCAAATGTTTTTGTGGCTAATCTTTGGAATAAACAGGTAGTTTGGCAACATTTTGGTAAGGCGATAAAGGTTACTAGCTAGGACTTTAGCAGTATACATGGATAAAGTCAAGAGTGTGCGCAATGGCATTTTTGTGCAAGTCTAGGATGTTTTTTTAAGTGAAAATAGGTTGACGTGTACATGGACGGTGTATGTGCAATTCTTAAAAACACGGCAAGCACTTTGCAATTCTGCACTTTCTCCCAATTTCGCACCTAATCTTCGTCATGATTAAGCACTTTTGTTCCATAAAAATTCTAGCGTAAGCGTAATTCGGCTAGCAGATTGTTGGGGGAAAAATGTTGAGTAAAAATAAAAAGCCTTTACTTCGTGAAAACAAAATGCTGTCCAAAAAAATACTAGCAGGTTGCTGTAGCAGGATTGGTTGCCAAAAAATCGGCAAATTACCATAATCTGAAGATTAACCGTTTTTGTCATTCAGGTCTGGTCACGTAAGTTTAAATTTTCTCATATATGCAACTTTACCTTCTTGGTTAATATTCCATAATCAGAATGAGCGGCAAATTTGGCAAGAGTTTTTTATTTGGTGCGATTTCGATTTGGTTGTGGTTTCCGGCTGTATGTTTTCTTGTGGCAAAACTAGAGCTTTATTTCGGTAATTGTAAGAGAGCAAATTTAGTGTAGACAGATTTTTTTAAATTTAATTTTGAAATACTGTGCTTGTTTTTAAAAGTTTTACAGTACAATATTATTATTATATATACATATGTTTAATATTATATTTATATAAATATTTGCAGAAGGTTAAGCTGTTGTTGGTGGGAGAATGTTGGATTTCAGGTGACATGAAGTTATGAATGTTTTCATTTAATTTTATTTAGTTAATTATTTTTTTTTAGCTGTGTTTCTTGCATGTGAAAATTGAAAGATGTGGAATATTTAAAAGTTTTGAACGAAAGTTGTTTAGTGTGTTGAATTCTACGACCTTGTTTTATCATTTAATCAATTTCATTTACTATTCTGTTTGCACAAAATAATCGCTGTTCACCACAGTAAACAAAAATTTGCTATTTAGTTTACATTTAAAACTCACTTCCTAATGCTCTGATCTGATAAATGTATGTATTTATTTACAAGAACTGTTTATTCTACTATTTTATGATGAATTACATACGCAGGACTATGTTTTTACTTGCAAAGCTGTTGGACTTTGTTTTACTCACCTAGTATTTTATCACCTCACTTTACTATTCTGTTTACATAAAAAAACGGTGTTTCACTACTGCAAAACTTAAAAGTTACTATTCTATTTATGTTTAAAAATCACATCTTAGTGCTTTCATTGCAGCGAAAAAAATTCTCCAAATTTTGAAGGCCAAAATAATTTGGCGCCAACTTCGCCCGTTTATGGAATATTAGCCATAAATACACTTGAAAATTTCCAGTTATATTAGAAATAATCGTAAATGCTCTGTTACTGGAATAAAAGATTAACAGCATATTTAAGCCTATACTAACCACGTTTTAAGAGCAAAATGCAAGGTGCACAAAATAGTTATTACAAAAAAATATCACCTCAATGTATTGTGTAATAATGCCGACTAAATTAAGCAAAACAATTTCCAGGTACACTAGAAACTGGTCCTTTCCCATTTATACTAAAATAATTCGCAAAGAAAACGAAAAATTTTACGATTAAGTTTGGTATAAATAAAAATATGAAATTAATTCATAAAACCTTTATCTATCACGATTACAATTTCCTGAATGTAAATTACCTTATAATTTCACACACAATCTTTCAATTTACCTTATCACCAATATTATAAATATACAATAACTATCCAGTTTGAAATACGAATGCTTAGCTCATAATTATCAAATATTTAAAATACTTATCACATGCCTTGTCTTAATTGTTCATCGTCGAGAACATTGTAACTTTCGTATTGTACACCATGTAAGCGTAAAATCTGAGCAACTGCATTACTAAAACCGCAACGCGGAGCGTCCGGAACACCCTTCATAAATACAACTACTTTGCTTTTATTAACTAATTTTTGGATATTTTCTTTCGTTCCCGTACTACAGTAGTGTGCCGAAGATATTAGGAATGACCGGCTAATTTTCAAATAACATCGCAAAGCTGAACTAAACGCCATGATTCGAAATTAATGTTTATGTTAGCATGCGTGAGAAAAGTTGAGCTGTAATCATACTGAATACCTAAAAATACGGAAAAAGAGGATATATTCTTCGGAGAAAGATAATAAAATTTTATGTAAAGTAATAAATGTACCCCATTTTTTATTGTATGTTTATCTGATTTTCATGACCTTGGTTGGTTAATTAAAATATTTTTTAATCATTTCTATTTTATGAATGCTTGATATTCGTATTAATTGACTTTTATTGTTATTTAGATTTCGCTTTGCATTAGAGCCACGAATTTTGGTAAATATATCCTTAGTTTCCCATTATTATTAAAAAAATTATATGTTATAATACACAAGATGTAGCTAAGAGCTACGCAGAGTCAAATGATTAAAGTAGCTAATAATCTTGGACTTAATAAATTTTGTAATTTTTTTTTAATTTTGTATTTTATAAATTTAAAATGTGATTCTAAAAATGGAAAAATGTACTTAATCCTGCGAATATGCGAAGGGGGTAATTTACGTTTGCGCTATAAGAATGCCCAAAGATTCTTTACGCAAAGCTCACCTTTTATTACTACTGTCACTTCTACTTGCATTATGGTGGTTTATTCAATTCAAAGATCGTGTTCGTATTTGATCGTAGAATTGTCAAAGAAGTTTCTTGTTATTGTATGATGAATATCATATGCACGTGGAATTTTCCATAAAACGCTTTTCTGTGGTTACTTATTTTATTAAATAATTATATGCTTAATAATATTCTAATCGCAAATATGCATGATTGTTCTGTTAGTTTTTCTGGCCCCGTATCCAGATCCACTATTTGTGCTGTAGTGGTCGACTGTCTCAAACACATTCTGTTTTGCCGAGGACAATTTCCTTTACCTCTAGATCAGTTGAAAAACTTGGTAAAGGCTCATGAAAAGAGAACTGCTATCGAGAAAAGAATATTGACTATCGATAATTTTCCTGTGTATTATGACGAGCCAGATGACGGAGAACGCGAATGCCAAGTAAGTAGTTTTTGATATATATAGAGAAAGACAGAGATATACTTTCAAAATATTGTTATCAGATTAATTAACTGAACATGAATCATGTCATTATGACTAGTTTAGTTCATGTTCTTAAAAAATTATATCGCTTTTTATATATAATTTTTATGAAAAATCATTACAAGCTATTTCATAAATGTTACCGATAATAAGGTTTGTAATGCGTTAACACTACTTTTTTAGTTGTATAAGAAAAATTACATTTGATGTGTTCTGTTATTAAAGGTGTATTTTTCTACTATATGAATTTAGAATTAATGAAATTAACCATAAAATTATACATGATTGATTGCATTATGTAGAGTATGGGATATAAGTTTAAACAGTTTTCCTTAACTTCTAAAATTATATGACGTATAATAATAATAAATAGATATGTCTATTATTTGGTGCTTTTCAACTGCTGGCTGTGGGAAAAGTTCAGAAAAAATGCAAATTGTGTGGTCAATATATTTTTCTAAAGCAAGATTGCTTTTAAACAGAAGTTGTGAATGCAATAGCTTGTTAGTATACAAAAAATTATTTTGAGACTAATTATATATTTATTATGTAACACACAGATAATAAACTAAGAAATATTGTTGTTTGTAGCACATGTAAACAATATAATCTTTATTAAATGTGGTATTTTGGAATATGTTGTATTTTCTAATAAACATATTTAATAATTCTAAGGCACTGCTATATTTCATTATAAGGACTAAAAATTTTTGCAGGAATGTATTTTGCTAAATCTTTTTTTTTTTTTTTTTCTTAAATATTTTTTTCCTAGTATTCAGTTTTAATGTAGAAAAAGATAGGTTGAAATTTATGTGAGTGTATAACTGTACATTTATGTAGAAAACTAGTAAAATCCAGTGAGAGTGTTGCAAATTAGTTTTAATTATAGATATAATTTATTTTCATAGTCCAGCTAATAATGTCAACATATGAAAATACCTAATAACCAGTACTTCTTTTTGTTATTTAAATATACAAGACAGTCGATTAACCAGCATAAATGGCCAGCCAGATCATTTGGATAAGCAAAAGTGTCAGATAATAGAGAGATGTTAAGAAAAAGCTTTTTAACCTCTAACTAATTAATAATTTTACAAAATGAATATATAAATCTGATTATGAATGAAATATCTTGCAAGCTTCCTAATCATGTTTCTATAACAAAGCAGGGAAAATTAACTGAAAAAAAATGAATTTATGTTAAATATAGTACTATTCCAATGAAGATGGTTAAAAACCATGGTAACATTGTCTTAATCTAGCACATTTTTTTTATTTATTTGCTGTCTTCAAAACTTCAGTCTTGGGATGTCTGAAAAAAATCTGGTACCCTTCTGTTATCAAGACCAGATTCAAAAATGGGTTGGATCCTAGTAAAGCCTTGGCGAGAATGATTTTGGTTATGGCGCATATCGATGTGTACATGGACAATGTAAAGGGAGTGTGTGCCAAATTTGTGCAATTCTGTGATTTTTTTTCAGTGAAAATAGGTCAGATACTGAGTTAGTACAATTCTTTGGTTTGTTATGCAAAGATGCTGCTCCACATCTAGGAATGCATTGTACTGGAGGTAAAATGGTTTCTTCGGTTTCATCTGTGCTTTCCATTTTCAACTTTTCATATCGCCTAGCAGCAGCTTCTATAATTTGACAATTGTTGTAGCCCTTATGTCAGCCCAGGCCTGTGTAGCCCAATAAGCAGCTTCTTTACATTGATGTGTTTCAGTTTTCAATTGTGTTTTATGTTTTATCCTTTTTCAGTTTTGCTATCACTGTGAACAGTAGCTTTCTGCGATAGTTCCTTTTTATAGCTTTCAAAACACCTTGATCCATAAGGTGATATATAGCAATTGTATTGGGTAGGCAGAAACATTGCATTAATGTTACCATCTTAAAGCTCCTCTGCATCAGGATGCATTGGAGCATTATCTTGCAACAAAATAGGTTTCTCGATATATTATTTTCTTTCAAAAACTTCTCCATTGAAGGAATAAATTTAAATTAAAGTACCAGTCTTTCAAAATTATACTGATTATTCATATACTTGAAATTGGTTTAAAACATTTGGGACTTGCCAGTCATTACAACCATGAATTTTGAAATATATATTCCATGTATAAATGAAAAGGGTGTTTTTTCCCTTCAAAAATTTACCCAAAATTCAAAAACTATATGTAAAAAAATGGTGTGTAATGGGGGTGATCCTGTAACGTTCAAACATGTAGCCAGGGCAAATTAACGAGCAGAATATTTTCCAGTTAAATTTAAAAATTAAAACATCATATTCCAATGAAGATGGTTAAAAACCATGGTAACCTTGTCTTAATCTAGCACATTTTTTTTATTTATTTGCTGTCTTAATTACGATCTGTGCTAGTCTTATTCCCTGTGCCATTTTATTTTTTGTTTTGAAGATGAGCAGGAAAAGAAATGCTTGTGTAGCAAATTTCAGACTACAGGTGATCGCATTTGCTGAAAATTCTAACTTCAGTATAGCTGCTGAGCATTTCCTTGTAAATGAAGTTCGAGAATGGAGAAAGTTTGGTAGCAGTTTCACTAATGTTGTCAGATCTTTTGTTTTTGTGACAATCCAACAAACCAGCATTATAAACACCTTCAAAAATAAAATGACTCATTTTTAAAAGCCATATTTTAATCAACTTTTCCTGGAACTAAATGTAAAAAAAATTATTATTTTTATTTAAAATGAATTTTTTCCCATTAAATAAAGATAAAATTTCCATAAAGTAGAAAAGTTTGGTATTATCTTTCGCATTCAGCTAACAGAAAAATGCCTACATTCTTTTGGAATTAGTGGATCAATGTATAAGCCGACCCCTGTAATTTAGCTCTAGAAAAAGTTCCAAAAATTCTCAGCTTATACACGGAATATACAGTAGGTCCATTTTGAGGTTTATTGTAGCATTACTGGATACTAAAATTGTCAACCTTCACTTATTACAATTCTAACCTGAGGCTGCTGCTTTAGTTCTGGCTCCAGGATTCTTACTAGATAGCATTTTGTAATTAAGGCCCGATTCCTCACAGTTGAATATCTGATCATCCATTAAGCTTTCAGTTTCAATTCCTGAAATTTTTCTTATGTGCTTCCTCCATTTCTTCAAAATTTGATGACAGTTTTTTACCACAAACGGTTTATTGGCAAATACTATAGCACAGTGGTCTTAAATTGGTGGGCCACATGCAAACCCTGAAGGAATTTTGTGCAGCCCACACTGACTTTTCAATTATGTATTTTTTGCAATTATGGTGATGCAAAGATTTCAAGATTTTACTTATTTGAAGTCTGAGTTTATATTATTTTTGCTAAAAATATATTTCAGGGAACCCCTTCGCAATTTTTTGCCGCCATTCCTGTTTATGCCCAACACCCTCCCCAGTAAAATAGCATCCAAAACATTATGCAATAAAACATAATTAAAACAAAAAATATATAATCTCAATAAACTGCATTTTAAATCAAACAAGGAAATAACATAAGAATATGTATACACGTTATCTAATCTATGCAGTACAAAAAAGAAATATTGACCTACCTTATTTAAAAATTTCTGTTTCTTCCATATGTGTGACACACAGAATTCCTTAACAGCATCCCAAAACTATTTAAAATTATCTAAACTAAAATCTGAATACTGCAACATAAATTTACAAAAGTAAAAATAAAAAATATCATCTATACTGACAGACTGTCAGTAACATTTCTTTCAAAAATCCCTTTTTATTACACATACCTTCCAGAGTGAAGTTTATTATCTACACAGATTCCATGAGTGCCTTAATGTCATTGGAAAATCACGCTCAATGTACTCACCCAGTTGCAACCAGAATCCTGAAGTTGAATCATTCTTTAAAAATTCGGGGATACCAGATTCTTTATTCGTGGATCCCTGGACACGTTGCCATAAAGGGGAATGAACTGGTGGATATTGCAGCTAAAACTGCAAACACAATGTACAATCTTCAGATTCCACTAGCAGATATCAAAGGGTTTATCAAAAGCAAAATTCTCAGCAAATGGCAGAAGCAATGGGATGACAAAGTATATAACAAGCTGAGAAATGTAAAACCCACCATTGGATACTGGCCATGTATGGCTAATAGAAGGGAGGATGTCCTCTTGACTCGACTGAGAATTGGTCATTATCGCCTGACCCATGAGTATCTTCTGAAGGGAGAAGAGAATCCCAGCTGCCCAAACTGCAATGCAGATCTGACAGTCCATCACATCTTGGTTGAATGCCAGAGTTTTAATTATTTTCACCAAAAACATTTTAATTGTTCAGAACTGGACTTAGGAAATTTAATTGGAAAAACACATCATTGTAATTTGTTTCTGTTTTTAAAAGATATTGGCTTTTATAAAAGACTTTAACCTGTTTCTAAAAGATATCAGCTTTTATCATAGATTGTAATCTGTCTCTTTTTACCCAAGCTGGAAAGTTTTTACAAATGACTAATTGCATTGTTACCATTTGTTTGGCGCAGATAACCTTGAAAGGTTTTGTGCCAAATTACAATAATCCAATCCAATCCAATCCTTCCATAGTGTTGATATGAGCTCTGGTTTTAAAATCCTTAAATCTCATTGCGTTATTTACTGAGAAGTGAACGAAGCCATTTAAATCTTTATTTACACACCAGTCAACCAATGTTTTCTTTTCCATTCTTTCCAAACCGTACAGAAACTTCAGGTAAATTGTACCACTAGCAAGCATTTTACGGTGTAAAACACAAAGTAAGCAACATACTTTCTAATCAACATCTAGTACATAAATAAGCCCTTACAAATATTTTTCCTATAGTCAAAATCGCCACAATCATGCATTACAACCAGTCACGTCATAATAGGGTTTCCATAACATTGTAAAACACTCAGGTTACCATAAATGAAACAACTTGGCAATAAGACAAGGGGCACCCTAAAATATAGATTAA